CCCACATGCCACAACTAAGATCTGGCACAGTCAAATAAATAAATTAAATAAATATATTTTTTTTAAAAAAGAATGAAAGAATAGATGAAAAGAGAAAAGAAAGAGGAAATCTAAAAAGGAGAAAAAATTAAGTATATCACATGACAATGATAAAAATGCTCATAAAACACTCTCAAAAAGTAGGCAAAATATATGACTAGCTAATAAAATAAAATTAAAATTAAATAACATTTATAAAAATAGGCCAAACTTCACTCATGCTTACATGCAAATCAAAGAAAGTTTCTATTCCTTAAATGTACCTATGGCAAAGATTAAAAACCTCCATAATACTACAGGCAAAGAAGAGAAAAGTCATTTTCATATAAGACTGGTAAGAGTGTAAACTGGTTAGTACAATGAAATACAGAAATAAAATTCCACTCATTGGAATTTATTTTACAGCTATATTTAACATGTATGCAAAAACACATGTACAAAACTATTCACTGCAGTATTGCTTAGAGCAACACATTAGAAACTACCTAAAGCCCAACAAAACTAAACTGATGAGAAATACTAGCTTATCTCTAAGGTTTACAACAGAATACTAAAGAGACTTTAAAATGAAAAAAAAAAAGCACATACATATGAGCTGGTGAGGAAAGATCTTTAAGATACACTGATTGGAGAGAATCTTCAGCTGAGCACCAAAGAATTGATGCTTTTGAACTGTGGTGTTGGAGAAGACTCTTTAGAGTCCCTTGAACTGCAAGGAGATCCAACTGGTCGATCCTAAAGGAGATCAGTCTTGGGTGTTCATTGGAGGGACTGATGCTGAAGCTGAAACTCCAATACTCTGGCCACCTGATGCGAAGAGCTGACTCATCAGGGTCTTCCCTGATGCTGGGAAAAGATTGAGGGCAGGAGGAGAAGGGGACAGCAGAGGATGGGATGATTGGATGGCATCATAGACTCAATGGACATGGGTTTGAGTGGACTCCGGGAGTTGGTGATGGACAGGGAGGCCTGGTGTGCTGTGGTTCAAGGGGTCGCAAAGAGTCGGACACAACTGAGTGACTGAACTGAACTGACTGGAAAGAAACAATATTCAGATCAGTACAGGCACCTGCTGGTGAATCCCTGGGCCCTCTGAAGACCCAACATCTGCAGATGCTCAAGTCCCTTATGCAAAACAGCAGTCAGTCCTTTGGTATCCATGGGATTTATATTCAATCAACCAAGAATTGAAAATACTTAGGAATTTTCAGAAAGTTTAAAAAACCAAAACCTAATCTGCAGAGAGTTGGCAACTATTTACACAGCATTTACACTGTATTTACAACTATTTACACAGTATTTACATTGTACTGGTTATTAAAAGCAATCTATAGATGATTTAAAGTATATGGGAGAACATATGTAGGTCGTATGTAAAAATACTATGCCTCTTTATATAAATTACTTGATTTGGGTATCTGGATTTGGGTATCTATTAGTGCCCGGAACCAACCTCCTGGTAGATAACAAGAGATGACTGCAATTATATGTTATCTCCTGTATGAAGGTCACAGACCCGGAAAATGGACAAGTGTTACATACAGTTGCCAGATAAAACACAAGATACCCAGTTAAATTTTAATTTCAGGTTAAAAAACTTTTTTACTTTTTTAGTTTAAGCATGTCCAAATATTTTTATTTGCTAAATCTGGCAACCGTAGTTATATAACATTGTGCAAGCCACAACTTCAGTTGCCTCAGTTTCTGCATCTGGAAAATTCCTGGGTCAGTCTATGATTTCTTCTAGCTCTAAAAACAGTTCTATTATTTTTTTTTTTTAGGTCTAAAATTCACAGGTTTTAAAGCTCCCTAGAATTCTGGCATTTTATAAAAAATTCAACATATACCCAAGATAATGTTCAGACAAATTAACAACTTCTAATAATCCTTCTCTGAATCCTTCCAATCACTGAAAACAGGCATTCATCAAGGTCCTATTCTTGGTTTCTTACTTTATACCACTCTACATGCTCAGGAATTCTTTTTTTTGTTTCACATATATACGGATAATTTCCCTCTCCAGTCAACTATAAAATTAATAGAAAGCTTCAAAATATCTGTAACATCAAAATTAATACAGCTAACAAAGAATACTATCTTCAGACCAAAACATAAGCTTTTAGTGAGTGCCTGTATTATAGAGTATCTATCAGAAGCTTACCATACAACATACCAACATGAAGCAATTACAGAACCAAAAGGAATACTAACAATATAAGACTGCTTACAAGCTCTTCTTAGCAGCAGTCACAGAAGTAAATATCTACAGATTACCCAACTATTAAGCCAATCCTAATGATATCAAGAAATAAGAGCTTCATCCCACTTCTACATGTTTCTAGCAATTGGTACTGGAGATAGTCTACCTTCTAGAGTACCTGGAATAAAACTTGGACAATTATACATGTAGACAGCCTACATGTTTATCCAGTCAATACAACTGAATTTCTCCTTTCATTTCTTAGGAACAAAGCCCTGATCTGAACCAGAATCCATCTGACTGGGCCTCCCATCATTCAGTCTAGATTTTGCCAGCCTCCCTCCCTCCCTTCTACTAAAAGCTACACACCAGGCTGTATAATCCACAGCTTCAGATGAAGTCACTAACAAAAGTGATTTACCAGACTCAGGACCCCGAACAACAAAGCTTACACCTACTACTGCCACCAGAGAATTCTATTACTTCCTAAAATCTCTTCCTTTAGTGTCCCGTTCATTTGGTGGTACTTTAAGACATATTTTAATGATCATTCATTCAGGTAAAGGTTAGTTATTATCCTTTGGCTACACATTTTCTACTTATGGCTATTTCAAACAGTATCAACCCTATGGCTAAATCAAGTTTCCTAGGTTTGACCCACTCAACCTGGGTTTCCTAACTGAATACCTCAGCCCTGTACAGCCCTATATATAACTGCTAAAGGGACAAGAATAACAAAAGCAGTTAATGCTAATGATTTTTCTAATCATTATATGTACAATCACTATCTTAACTATATTTTGCTTTCAAAACTCTAGCTTTAAAACCTGTCAACTATCAAAATGGATTTCCTTCTCTGCAAAACAACCACCAAAATTAATGTTTCCCTCTGCAAGATCTTTCACATATCTTTTTCACTTCATATTTGGGCTATGGCAGCATATTTTCTTTCAGTCTCCCAGACCTCCAGTAGGTATGCAATATGGATAGTTATGATTGTGTACTTAAATATGGATAAATTTCCTTTGAAAGCAATATGGCAGTACTAACAAAATCTGATCAACCTAGACAGCATATTAAAAAGCAGAGACATTACTTTGCCAACAAAGGTCCACCTAGTCAAAGCTACGGTTTTTCCAGTAGACATGTATGGATGTGAGAGCTGGACTATAAAGAAAGCTGGGCTCTGAAAAATTGATGCTTTTGAACTGTGGCGTTGGAGAAGACTTTTGAGAGTCCCTTGGACTGCAAGAGAATGCTGGGCTAGAGGAAGTACAAGCTGGAATCAAGATTGCCAGGAGAAATATCAATAACTTCAGATATGCAGATGACACCACCCTTATGGCAGAAAGTGAAGAAGAACTAAAGAGCCTCCTGATGAAAGTGAAAGAGGAGAGTGAAAAAGTTGGCTTAAAGCTCAACATTCAGGAAACTGAGATCATGGCATCTGGTCCCATCACTTCATGGCAAATAGATAGGGAAACAGTGGAAACAGTGTCAAACTTTATTTTTCTGGGCTCCAAAATCACTGCAGATGGTGACTGCAGCCATGAAATTAAAAGACGCTTACTCCTTGGAAGGAAAGTTATGACCAACCTAGATAGCATATTAAAGAGCAGAGACATTACTTTGCCAACAAAAGTCCGTCTAGTCAAGGCTGTGGTTTTTCTAGTAGTCATGTGTGGATGTGAGAGTTGGACTATAAAGAAAGCTGAACACTGAAGAACTGATGCTTCTGAACTGTGGTGTTGGAGAAGACTCTTGAGAGTCCCTTGGACTGCGAGGAGATCCAACCAGTCCATCCTAAAGGAGATCAGTCCTGGGTGTTCACTGGAAGGACTAATGTTGAAGCTGAAACGCCAGTACTTTGGCCACCTCATGCGAAGAGCTGACTCATTCGAAAAGACCCTGATGCTGGGAAAGATTGAGGGCAGGAGGAGAAGGGGACAACAGAGGATGAGATGGTTGGATGGCGTCATAGACTCGATGGACATGGGTTTGGGTGGACTCCAGGAGTTGGTGATGGACAGGGAGGCCTGGTGTGCTGCAGTTCATGGGGTTGCAAAGAGTCGGACACGAATGAGTGACTGAACTGAACTGGACGGCAAGGAGATCAAACTAGTCAATCCTCAAGGAAATCAGTCCTGAATATTCACTAGAAGTACTGATGCTGAAGCTGAAACTCCAATACTTTGCCACCTGATGGCAAGAACTGACTCATTTGAAAAGACCCTGATGCTGGGAAAGATTGAAGGGGGGAGGAGAAGGGGACAACAGAGGATGAGGTGGTTGGATGGATGACTGACTCAATGGACATGAGTTTGAGTAAGCTCCGGGAGATGGTGAGGGACAGGGAAGCCTGGCGTCCTATAGTCCATGGGGTCGCAAAGAGTTGGACACTACTGAGCAACTGAACTGAACTGAACAAAATCTACCAAAATATTTCATGTAGCATATCCATTTATAAGAACTATTAAAGTCATTTAGCTTTACAGATCTCAAAAAAGCAACAAATTTTGGGAAATATTCACTACTGAATTCATCTTTCAGCTTTTTGTTAAATACACTGAAATGAAATACAATATATAAAATGAAACTACTGAACTGTCAAAGGTGCATATCTCATCACTTACATCAAATTTAAGAAACAAAATCATAACATATCTAATCAGTAACTGATGCTCTAAAAGTACAGTTCAGTGTCCTGAATCGTCTGACCTTAGTATTTATTTATCGGTTTAGAAAACAAATGACAGAATACCTGGCAAGCGAAGACTTTGTATCCTGTAGATGTTCTTTGGTCACAGAGTCATCTCTCAAGCCTTCCTCCTGTGATTTTTCTCTCACGTCTTCTGAAATGCATCCATGGTCAACACTGTGACTGGTTTCTAGTGGTTTTTTATTTGAATGTTTCCTGTCTCCCCTTCCAAATCTACTCCATGATAAACTTTCTTCACTGTTTTCTGTGGATTTTTGAAAACCACAATAGACAGAATCTTGAGGGACTACTGCTGAAGATGAACTAGATGGTTCAAAATTTCTGTCCTTGCTATGAAATGACACTTCTTCATCATCAGAGGGTCTTAAGAATTTAGCTCTTAAATTTACATGAGAAGAAAATTCTTGATTTTTCCTTGGACTGGGTTCTCTTCTACATGTTTCTGAAAACACAGATCTACCATCTTTTTCATCACCACTAAACTTATCTTTAGTGATATTGTTGGCAATATCTGTTGTATTATATCTACCTCTTGAACTTTTATTATATTTTACCAAGTCTGACTTTCCACTTTCTTGACTACTATGTGCTTTATCTGAGTATGTTGGTTTCTTCCACCGTTCTCGTCTACAATCTTCTTTTGTAAATGCAGCTTTTTCAGCTTCTTTTAATTTCAACTGAAATATTTCCATTGACTAGAAATGAGGAAAAAAATCAACAAAATATTTAAAATTAAAAATGGCTCAATGACTTGTACTCTGCATGCCACTGTGTCATGATACATTGTCACGTAGTACAATGAAAGAAAAACCCAACAAAGGGGAATGAAAGACCCAGTCATCCTAAATGACGTAGGCTGAAATATGCACGCCCTCCAAAGTCATATGTCAAACCTCTAACCCACAGAACCTCAGAATGTGACATTTGTAGAAAGGATCTTTAAAGAGGTGATTAAGTTAAAATGAGGTCACTGGGTTACACCTTAATCCAGTATGACTGATATCCTTGTAATTAGAAGAAATATGGACACACAAAGAGATCAGCACACACAGAGAAAATACTACGTGAGGGTGGAGCTAGAAGGCAGACACTTATGAAAGAAGAAGAGAGGCCTCAGAAGAAACCAAACCCTCTAATATCTTGATCTTCAATTTCCATTCTCCTGAAATGTAGGAAAATTAACTGCTGTTGTTTAAGTCACCCAGTCTGTGGAACTGTGTTGTGGCAGACGGAGCAAAGAAACACATCACTATGAAATGAGTATTTTAAAAAATATGAATAACCAATGAAAAATTACCAAATAATAAAAAAATTCTGGGAGCTCAAAAGAAGCCATTTAAACCAAATGCCCAGCACTAAAACAAAACAGAATTCAGAAAACAGTAAAGACATAATATTTTAAAAGATACTTCCTACTGTCAGTGAGATTCAAGATGTTACCGTATGGCTAAAACAGAACAGACTCATATGAAAAGAAAAGCAGTTCAAGAACAGGGAAGACATAAAGAGAACTGTTCAAAGACAGGCAGGTAGTGAGCAGAACAACAAGGGTACTGAATCCAGATCTGCGAACTCAACACCAGCCTAGGAATTTGCTATACTTAGGAAAAGATGGTAAACAAATATAAGTTACAGCGAAAAGACACACGGACAATTAATTCTACAGAACATGCATATACTTTGAGAAGGAAAAACTAAAGACTGTAGAAGCATTAACAAAAAAATTTCCCCAGCTAATTTTCTAGATCCAAAGGTCTCACTGAACAGCCTTTGGGGAAGGAAGTAAGGAAAGCATACAGAAATTCATACATATAAAAATCCTAATTTCTGTGTCTCAAAATTCATGCAGAAAATAAATTTTTCACAAAGATCAGATCAGAGAAAGGAGTGAATGTGAACAAGTAAACAAATGGGAGTGAGGTAAACAACATTCTGCCAACAAAGAAAAGGAAGTTAAGACTGTTAACAACTTTTCACTAAGTGCTAGAAGATAATGAAGTGAAGATGAAATTTTGAAAAATAATTCTAACGTAATAATTCTAAATAAAGAATTCAATTCAGTCAAATTATCTTTCCTTGACACATACAGAAGAAAGGCATTTTCCAAAATGCAACATAACAGAAAGTACATTACTTACTAATTCTAGGGGAGAAAATTAAGGCAAACCATAAATGAATTAGGGCAGGTATCTTTGAAAAAAGGAATTCAGGCCATAAACTAAATGGCAAATGTAATGGTTAGGTCTAAATAATTGTTCTTATAGTTACAAAGAATACAAATGTCAAGAATAACATGATATTTTTTAAGCTTATAGTAAAGTGTAATTAAAATTTTTAAATATCTCCATAAAATCTGAGAGTTGAGATGGAAAGTCACTATCTTAGACGAGGCAGAGATAATCCATTATATTTTATTTTATCAAATTATTTTAAAAATCCAGGTTTAACATGTTTCTTAAGTTTAATGACAATGTGAGCAGAATGAAAATGATGGCAGTAAAGGGGGATATTTTCGCAATTTAAGCACTGCCTCATAGGTAACTTTTCTCTTTCTTGGTGATACAGAAATTAATGATATCTTTAGAATTAGTGGCTTCTAAAATTCAACAAAACATGGTAATAACAAAAACAACAACAGTACCTGACACAATTTATCCAATGCTTATTGTACTACATCTTTTGAATCATTTAAATGGGGTCTACTTATAATGTCTAGGATCAAATTTGTTCATGAATTTCATAGTCTTGGTTATTTAAACTCTGCCTCAGTTTCATTTACTAAATAACAGTATAATTGTGGCTATTAAATAAATTTAATTATACAAGAAGTAATACAACAGTAGCTGGCAGATGAAAAGCATTCAAATTATTATTAGTGCTCACAAGAATTCTATGAGGATGATACTAATAATCGTGTCTTTAAAATGAAAAATAAAAATGAAGCTAAGATCACACAGCAAGAGTAACAAACCTGATATTGAAATTCAAGACTATTTAACTACACAACAAATGTTTTTAACCATTATGTCAAAATGCCTAACTCTTTGATTCTTAACTGTTTTAGAGAATTAAGAAATTATATAAAACTTCAAAGTTTCAAAAATAAACTTATAATAACCCTTAAAAGATAAAAAGAAAACTAAAGATAATATATATAAAGACATAAATGAAAAATAAAATAATAACAAATTTAATTCAGTAGTATATTAAAGTAAATGCCATGATCAAATAGGAGTTAAAGAATACAAGAATGGTCTGAAGTTAGAAAATATGTTCAAACAACTCATCTCATTGACAAAAGAAAAAAAATAATTTTAGCTCAAAGGATATCAAAATAGTTATTTCATAAAAATTAGATACCCACTTCTAATTTAAAAGCAAATTAACAAAAAAGCACCTTTCATACATCCACGGCCTGGTGGATCTCCCTACTTTCCTCAATTTAAGTCTGAATTTTGCAACAAGGAGTTCATGATCTGAAGCAGTCAGTTGTTGCTGACTCCATGTTCTGCTCCAAGAATGTAATCACTCTGATTTTGGTACTGACCATCTGGTGATGTCCACCAGATGTCCACCATCTCTTGTGTTGTTGGAAGAGGGTGTTTGCTGTGACCAGTGCGTTCTCTTGGCAAAATTCTGTTATCTTTGCCTTGCTTCATTTTGTACTCCAAGGCCAAACCTGCCTGTTACGCCAGGTATCTCTTGACTTCCTTCATTTGCATTCCAGTCCCCTATGATGAAAAGGACATCTTTTGGGGGTATTAGTTCTAGAAGGTCTTGTAGGTCTTCATAGAACCGTTCAGCTTCTTCGGCATTAGTGGTTGGGGGCATAGACTAGGATTACTGTGACATTGAATGGTTTGCCTTGGAAACGAACAGAGATCATTCTGTTGTTTTTGAGACTGCACCCAAGCACTGCATTTTGGACTCTTTTGTTGATTATGAGGGCCACTCCCTTTCTTCTAAGAGATTTGCCCTCATTAGTAAAGATAAAGGTCATCTGAATTAAATTCACCCATTCCAGTCCATTTTAGTTCACTGATTCCTAAAATGTTGATGTTTACTCTTGCCATCTCCTGTTTGACCACTTCCAATTTACCTTGACTCATGGACCTAAAATTCCAATGCAATATTGTTCTTTAAAGCATCAGACTTTACTTTCACCATGAGACACACTGACAGCTAGGCATTGTTTCTGCTTTGATTCAACCTCTTTACTCCTTCTGGAGTTATTTCCCCACTTTTCCCCAGTAGCATATTGGACATTTACTGACTTGGGGAGCTCATCTTTCAGTGTCATATCTTTTTGCCTTTTCATATTGTCCAAAATCACTGCAGATGGTGACTGCAGCCATGAAATTAAAAGACGCTTACTCCTTGGAAGGAAAGTTATGACCAACCTAGATAGCATATTAAAAAGCAGAGACATTACTTTGCCAACAAAGGTCCGTCTAGTCAAGGCTATGGTTTTTCCAGTGGTCATGTATGGATGAGAGAGTTGGACTATAAAGAAAGCTGAGCGCCTAAGAATTAATGTTTTTGAGCTGTGGTGTTGGAGAAGACTCTTGAGAGTCCCTTGGACTGCAAGGAGATCCAATCCTAAAGGAGATCAGTCTTGGGTGTTCATTGAAGGACTGATGTTGAAGCTGAAACTCCAATCCTTTGGCCAGCTGATGCGAAGAGCTGACTCATTTGAAAAGACCCTAATGCTGGGAAGGATTGGGGGCAGGAGGAGAAAGGGACAACAGAGGATGAGATGGTTGAATGGCATCACCGACTCAATGGACATGGATTTGGGTGAACTCCAGAAGTTGCTGATAGACAGGGAGGCCTGGCGTGCTGCGGTTCATGGGGTCACAAAGAGTCGGACACAACTGAGAGACTGAACCGACTGACTGACTGACTGTTCATGAGGTTCTCAAGGCAAGAATGCTGAAGTGGTTTGCCATTCTCTTGTCCAGTGCACCATGTCTTGTCAGAACTCGCCACCATGACCCATCCATCTTGGGTGGCATTATATGACAATTAATATCTTTATAATATCTGCTCTACAGATATTAATTGTTTTATCTATACATTTAACTAAATTTAAACAAAATTCCAAAATGAGTTGTAACTCTATAAGGTACTCTGGAAACTGTTTCTCTTGAGCTTGAACTTAATAAAACTGATTCTAAATTTTAGAACAACAAAAAAGCACATGTAAGAATATGAAGTTACTTTTTAGTAACTAATGAAAGAAAGACTTATCCTGTCATACAGTAGGTATTCACTAATTATTTGCTATCCACATGAGTTACTGAAACTATAATAATTATAATAGTATTATACTAATTTCAGGAAACAATAAAAAAATCAATAAAAGAGATTTGAGAATAAACAGACTGACTTCATAAAAGATGATGTTATATATAATAAATGTGTCATTTGAAATTAGTAGGAAAAGAATAATTCATTCAATATATTATGAAAACCTACCTAAAGATTTTAGAAAAGTTAAATGTTTACTTTAAACCATACACAAATATGTATTTCAAAAAGATAAAAATATTCATAAAAGTAAAACTGAGCAAATTCTTAAAGGAAATAGAAGTGTACATTTTTCTAATCTTGCAGGTGGAGAAAAAATGTCGATGAGTTATACCAAGAACATTATGTCATGAAAGAAAAAATCTGATAGGTTTTGTTAGATAAAAATATTTTAAATATATTCATAGCAAATATAAGTAAAAAAGAAACATGAAACTAACAGGAAGATTTATTAAAAGGTCTTAAGTCAATATCCCCAAATGAGTAAATACTACAAATAATCAAATCAAATGGCAAAAAATATGAAAAAGAATCCACTTGATTAGTAAACAAATGATAAAAATAAAGGCAAAGAAAAAATCTGCTTACCAATCACAGTAGCATAGACTAGAAAACATAATACTACTATTGAAAATCATTGGAAAAAATAATTTTATTGAGTCTAATTTCTTCAATCCTTCTATAGAGAAATTTTACAATATATATCTCACTGTAAGTATCTATATCCTTTAATTGGCAATTTCACTTTTAGTAACTCTTTTAAGAAAATAACCAGGTAAGTACACAACATTCATTGGAAAAGATGATCATCACAGTGCTGTTTAACAGGGAAAAAAATAAAAACATATAAATATCTTTCCACTAACATAAATAATGGGTTGTTGTTCAGTCGCTAAGCCATGTCCAACTCTTTGCCACCCATGGACTGCAGAACACCCAGACTTCCCTGTCCTTCACCATCTCCCAGAGTTTGCTCAAACTCATGTCCACTGAATAGGTGATGCAATCTATCCATCTCATCTTCTGTCGTCCCTTTCTCCTCCTGCCTTTCCCAGCATCATGGTCTTTTTCAAAGAGTCAGAACTTTGCATCAGGTAGTTAAGGTACTGAAGCTTCAGCTTCAGCACCAGTCCTTCCAAAGAATATTCCAGGTTGACTTCCCTTAGGATGAACTGTTTTGACTCCCTGCAGTCCACAAGACTCTTAAGTGGATTCTCTAGCACCATTGTTCGAAAGTACCAATTCTTCAGCACTCAGCCTTTTTTATGGTCCAACTCTCACATCCATACTTGACTACTGGAAAAACCATAGGTCTGATTATATGGACCTTTGTCAGCAAAGTGATGCCTCTGCCTTTTAATACATTGTCTAGGTTTATCATAACTTTTCTTCCAAAGAACAAGCATCTTTTAATTCATGGCTGCAATCACCTTCCACAGAGATTTAGGAGCTCAAGAAAATAAAGTCTGTCACTGTTTCCATTTTTTCCCCATCTATTTGCCATGAACTGATGCCATGACCTTAGTTTTTTGAATGCTGAGTTTAAGCCAGATTTTTTACTCTGCTCTTTCATCTTCATCAAGTTTCTCTTGCCTCTTTGCTTTCTGCCATCAGGGTGGTATCATCTGCATGTCTGAGGTTGCTGATATTTCTCCCAGCAATCTTGATTCCAGCTTGTGACTCATCCAGTCAGGCATTTCACATGATGTACTCTGCATTTAAGTTAAATAACCAAGGTAACAGTATATAGACTTGATGTACTCCTTTCCCAATTTGGAACCAGTCTGTTTTTCCAAGTCTGGTTCTAGCTATTACTTCTTGACCTGCATACTGGTTTCTCAGGAGGCAGAGAAGGTGGTCTGGTACTTCCATTTCTTTAAGAATTTTCCAGTTTGTTTTGATCCACACAGTCAAAGGCTTTAGTGTAGTCAGTGAAGCAGAAGTAGATGTTTTTCTGAAACTCTTGCTTTTCCTATGATCCAATGAATGTTGGCAATTTGGTAATCTGGTTCTTCTGCCTTTTCTAAGTCCAGCTTATACATTGAGAAATTCTTGGTTTATGTACTGTTGAACCCTAGCTTGAAGGATTTTGAGTATTACCTTGCTAGCATATAAAATGAGCACAATTGTACAGTAGTTTGAACATTCCTTGGCATTGCCCTTCTTTGGGACTGGAATGAAAACTGATCTTCTCCAAGCCTTAACCGAGAAATAACCAAATTTGCTGGCATATTAAGTGCAACACTTTAACAGTATCAACTTTTAGGATTTTAAATAGCTAGGCTAGCATTCCATCACCTCTACCATATAAATATATGTGTAAATATTAACAGATCATTAAAATGTACATATTTTCTGGCATCCAACTATGTCTGTTTGTGCAAGTGAAACAACCAGAATGTAGGCTGTAAGCTTATGCTATGTCTGTTGTCAGACTCTTTGTGATACCAGAACTGAAGCTCTCCAGGTTCCTCTGTTCACAGAATTTTTTCAGGCGAGAATAATAGAGTGGGTTGCTATCTCCTGCTCCAAGGGATTTGCCCAACCCATGGATTGAACTTGTGTGTCTTAGGTCTTCTGCATTGGCAGGCAGATTCTTTACCACTGAACCACCAGGGAAGAAGCAGTACATGAGCCTACTTTTGTAAAACTGTTTATTTTAAAATTATATAGTAAATAGGAAAAAATTAAACATATATAGATCTAAATATTAACACAGATTCTCTTAAAGAATAGTAATTCTCTCACTTTTTGTTTACTCCTTTCTAAACCTCTTTCTCCTGAAATTGAAAGAAAACAGGACATCAACAGCTGCTAAAACAGAAAGATTATTCACACATTGTGAATGGGGGAGCTGGTTCTAAAATATATTGCTGCATTATTCCATTGTTTTATACACACACACACACATACACAGTAATCACACCATGTTTTAAGTAAGTCAGATCATGTTGCATAACTTAAGCTTATGCAGTACTGCATGTCAAGTATATCTCAATAAAACTGGAAGAAAAATGAATAAACATCACTTTTTAAAAGCAAAAAAAACATAGTACTTATATCAAAAGGTATTCTCTGGAGGCTTTCCTATACTACTGAAATTTCTTCACAACAAGAAAATGCTGCTTTTACATTAAACACATACATTCTTAAGTTGTCCTTACTTAAGTTTTATATTCATTAAGTTTTATATTTAAGTATGCTGCACAGGTTTATCTAAAAATGAAAGGCAAAACACAGCTTCAGCAGTTGAAGACAGTTAGAACTGAAATTTAATATCAAGTCAATTAAAAAGTGTATCCTATCACAAAACACTAACAAAGTTAAAGTTAATTTCCACATAACTTTGAAAATAATATTTATTTCCTAAATACCAAGACTTACCCCATATCTTTCAGCTACAATGTCCTCAATATTTCTATTTTGTTTCTCAGCTTGTTCTTTCATTCTTTGATAAGACTTCCTTAGCCAGCTTAAACCACCATCTTCTACTGAAATTCAATTGCAATATTAAATGTCAGTTATACTTTTCATGTGGTTATAACAGAATACTTACTGCTACTACAGCAACTATGAAATTGCATATTATTCTCTGAGCATGTAAAAATCATAAGTGCATTTAAAATTCAACATATATTTGAGTGCCTATATATGTAAGGCACAGTTTTGCAATAATGAGAAAAGAAAAACAAAAAGAAACTACCGGGAAATTCCATGGTGCTCCACTGACTAATACTCTAGATTCCCAATGCAGAGGGCCCCAATTCAATCCCTGGTCAGGGAACTAGATCCCACATGCTGTAACTAAGAGTTCACATGCTGCAACTAAAGATACTGAATGCCATAACTAAGAGTTTGCAAGCTACAACTCCGAGTTTGCATGTCACAATGAAGATCAAAGACTTGTGCTGCAACACTCAGCACAGTCAAATAAAAATAAATATTTAAAACAAATATAAAGAAATAAAAAATAGAACTACCCTAAAAAAAACTGGAATCTAAGAGAATGAGGATAAGAGGAGATAAATATAAAAATATTACATTTTATCAAATGTAGTATTTATCACTATTATAAAGAGTTACATAAAAACAAAAAAAGGAGAGAATTATTTCTAAATGTAATGTCAGGGGACAATCTCACACACCAGGATGAAAATCAAGTTGGATTTCTAGAAAGAGTAGTCACAGTATGCCTCAAAATAAATTAAAGCCGAGAAAGGCACACACAAAGGGGAAAGAAACTACTTCAGATAGAACATAAAGAACATATAAGGAGATGAGAGCAGTCAAGATGCTGGAACAGAAGAACCTGAGGTTCACTTCTTCCCACAAGCACATCACTAATTACATCTAGAAATGAAACAATCTGAACACACCACGTGCTGAATGAACATTAGCAGAGGATCTTGGATATATTAAAAGACAAGAAAGATCCCCAAATGACCAGATAGGATGGAAAAGAAAGGGAAGTAAGACAAAAGAGGAAACGAGATAGAATCCATAATCTTGGGGTGGTGGGGTGGGGGAGTGGCTGAAAAAGAGGAGAGGTTACCACATCAGGAGAAGGCCCCTTGAATATTTAAGAAAACCGAAATCATATCAAGCATCATTTCTAAACACAACACTATGAGACTAGAAATCAATTACAACAACAACAACAAAATGTCAAAAACACAAACACATGGAGGCCAAACAACATGCTACTAAATAACCAAGAGATAACTGAAGAAATCAGAGGAAACCAAAAAATATACAGGGGAAAAAAAATCAACAAAAACACAAAAACCCAAAACCTATGGGATACAGCAAAAGCAGTAAGAGAGAAGCTTACAGCAATTCAATCCTACCAAGAGAAACAAGAAAAATCTCAAACAATTTAATCTTATACCTAGAGCAACTAGATAAAGAAGAAAAAATCCAAAGTTAGTAGAAGTAAAAAAATTATAAAAATCAGAGCAGAAATAAATGAAACAGAAATGAAGAAATCAATAGCAAAAATCATTGAAACTAAAAGATGGTTCTTTGGGAAGATGAACAAAATTGATAAACCTTTAGCCAGACCCATCAAGAAAAAAAGAGAGAGGACTCAAATCAATAAAATTAAAAAAGAAAACAGATAAATTACAACTGACACCACAGAGATGCAAAGAATCAGAAGAGATTACTGTAAGCAACTATAGGTCAACAAAATGGACAATCTAGAAAAAATGAACAAGTTCTTAGAAAGATACAACCTTCCAAGACAGAACCATGAAGAAACAGAAAATATGAACAGATCAATCAAAAGAATCGAAACTGAAACTGTGGCAAACTCTCTCCAACATTTAGAGAAGAGACAAAAGTGACTCTTCTGAAACTCTTTCAGAAAATTAGAGGAAGGAACACTCCCAAACTCACCTAAAAGGCTACCATCACTCTGATACCAAAACCAAAGATTTCACACAAAAAAATCAAAATTACATGTCAATATCACTGATGAACACAGAAGCAAAAATCCTCAACAAACTGCTAGCAAACATAATCCAACAATACATTACAAGGATAATACATCATAATCAAGTGGGATTTATCCCAGAGATGTTAGGATTACTCAATATATACAAATCAGTCAATATGATACACCATATTAATAAGCTTAAGAATAAAAACTACATGGTTATCTTGATAGATGCAAAACAAATTTTTAACAAAATTCAACACACTTCTATGATTAAGGGAAAAAAACCTCTCCAGAAAGTGGGCTTAAAAGTAACCTACCTCAAAATAATAAAGGCCATATAGGACAAACCTACAGATAACATCACACTCAGAGGTGAAAAGCGGAAAGCATTTTCAGTAAGATCAGGAACACAACAAGTATGTTCACTTTACAATGTTTATTCAACATAGTATTAAAAGTCCTGGCTACAGCTATCAAAGAAAAAGAAATAAAAGAAATTGAAATTGAAAAGCTTCAATACTTTGGTCATCTGATGCAAAGGGCTGACTCATTAGAAAAGACCCTGATGCTGGGAAAGATTGAAGGCAGGAGGAGAAGGGTATGACAGAGTATGAGATGGTTGGATAGCATCACTGACTCAATGGTCATGAGTGAGCAAGCTCTGGGAAATGGTAAAGGACAGAGAAGGCTGGCATGCTACAGTCCACGGGGTTGCAAAGAGTCGGATATGACTGAATGACTGAACTGAACTGAAATTGGAAAAGAAGTAAAATTTACTGTTTGCAGATGACATGGTACTATGCACAGAAAATTCTAAAAGATACCACCAGATAACTACTAGAACTAATTAATTTACTAGAATTTGGCAAAGATTCAGGATACAAAATGACTGTACAGAAATCTCTTGTATGCATACCTATACACTAACAAAGATTAGAAAGAGAAATTAAGGAAACAATCTCACTTACCACCACAAAAAAGTAATAGAATACCTAGGAATAAGCCAACCTAAAAAGGTAAAAGACCTATACTGAGCAAACTACAAGATACTGATGAAAGAAATAAAAGATGACTCAGAGAGATGTATGTTTCTGGTGTATGGACTGCAAGAATCAATATTGTGAAAATGACTATATCACCAATCTACAGGTTCAATGCAATCCTTATTAAACTACCAATGGCATTTTTCACAGATCTATAACAAAAAATTGTACAATCTGTATGAAAAGAAAAGAGATCACAAACAGCCAACACAACCTTAAGAAAAAAAAATGGAGCTGGAGGGATCCGGCTATACTGCAGGCTGACTTCAGACCACACTACAAAGCTACAGTCATCACAGCAGTGTGCACTGGCACAAAAACAGGCATACAGATCAATGGCACAGGAGAGAAAGCCCAGAGATAAACCCACCCACACATGGTCATCCAATCTATGACAAAGGAAACAGGAATAAACGACGATGGAAAGACAGTCTTTTCAATAACTGGCACTGGGAAAACTGAACAGCTACCTGCAAGAGGAAGAACCTGGAACACACCCTGACACCACACACAGAAGGAAACTTAAACAGATTAAAGGCCTAAATGCAAGGCCAAATACTAGGAACCTTTTAGAGGGAACCGCAGGGAGAACACACTCTGACAAAAACTGCAGCAATATCTTTTTCAATTCATCTCCTCCAATAATGAAAATAAAAACAAAAATAAATTAATTGGCCTAATTAAACTTCAAAGATTGTGCACAGCAAAGGGAACCATGAACAAAACAAAAAGAAAAATCTCAGGATGGGAAATGATATATGCAAATGAGGCAACTGACAATGGATTAATCTCCAAAATATACAAACTTCTCGTGCAGCTCAATATAAAAAAAATTCCAATCAAAAAAGAGTGGAAAACTTAAGCAGATATTTCTCCATAGGAAACCTTCAGATTGTTAAAAAGCACATAAAATGATGCTCAACATTTCTCATTATTAGAAAAATCAAAACTACAATGAGGTATCACCTCATCCTGGTCAGAAAGGTCATCACCAAAAAATCCACAAACAAACAAAAGAATAAAAAATAAAACAAAAAAGAAAACCTAATAAACAAACAAAAAAGAAAAAAATAAAACAAAAGAATGAAATTTTTTAAAAATCCATAAATAATAAATGCTGTAAAGGATTCAGAGAACAGGGAACTTTCTTGCACTGTTGGTGGGACTGTAAATTGATACAGCCACAGTGGAGAATCATATGGAGGTTTCTTAAAAACAAAAAATGGAACTACCATATGACCCAGCAATCTTACTATGGGGCATATAGCTTGAGAAAACCATAATTCAAAAAGAAACATGTACCCCGATGTTCACGGTAGCACTATTTACAACAGCCAGGACATGGAAACAACCTGAATAACCACCAACAGATGAATGGATAAAGAAGATGTAGTGTATGTACACAATGGAATATTACTCAGCCAGGAAGCTGGTTCATGTGTGGAGACGAGGCTGTGTCTAAAGTCTATCACACAGACTGAAGTCAGAAAAACAAATATCATATATTAGCACATGAATGTGGAATACAGAAAAATGGTGCAGATGAACCTACCTGCAAGGCGGGACAGAAAGGACAGGTGGCCACACAGGGGAAAGGGGAAGCTGAGATGAATTGGAGGTTAGGCTCGATATAAATACACTACCATGCGTGAAACTGATAGACAGTGGGAACTTTCTGCATAGCACAGGGAGCTTAGCTCAGTGCTCTGTGATGACCTACCTGGATGGGACGGAGACAGGGAAGTTCAAGAGGGAGGTAATATATCTGTAAACATAGCTGATTCACTTCATTTTAGAAAGAAACTAACAAAACACTGGAAAGCAATCATACTCCAATTAAAAAACAGAAGGGCTTCCCTGGTGGCTCAGTGGTAAAGAATCCACCTGCCAATGAAGGAGACATGGGTTCGATCCCTAATCCGGAAAGATCTCACCTAACACAGAGCAATTAAGCCCATGTGTCACACTACTGAGCATGTGTTCCAGAGCCTGGACACACAACCACTGA